ACGTGATGAAAAGTAACACGCAAAAAGAAAAAATTCGTAATAAACGAATAAAAAATTGCAGGACGTTTAAAGAAACTTAGAAAATTAATTTATTAATTTTGTATGTAGTTTTAATAATACCTATTAGACGATGATGTATCTTGAGTTAAATCAAAATTTTCACAATGCGCCATTTTTTTATTATTTATGCCAGTAGACTAAAATTGGAATTTATAAAAATTTATACAAGTATGTATTAATCTTAAAAGTGTGCTTTACAATTTTGATAAAAAATATTTAAATGTTAAGTCTACAAAAGATTCAACGTACAAAAATACCATTTACTGCACAAAAGAACAACAAACCGGACGCTTCTCGAATTCCGCGTGTATGTATGTACATATATCACAGACGGAGTATAGGATAGAATAGTGATATGTACTATAATTTATATTTCATTCCCTCTTATAATCAGTGCAACATAAAGAGTAAATATATAAAAAATGTAAGTTCTAAAAGTAAAAAAAATACTCTTAATTTTAATTAAAAAAACAGAAGGACCCAATTTATGATAATAAAAAGGCAAATAGAATTTATCTGCAATGATTGTTTCGTATTCCAAATGTCGCTCTGCTCGTGATCGTTTAGTAAATTTAATGGATGAGAAAATCTAACGCTGAATCTTTTACAGAACAATAAATAACTTGATAAAAATAAGGATGAACGAAATGTGTTAACTATTTCTTTTATTTCAAAATGATACCTCTAGACCATCTGAACGAGGGAAAGGAAATGAATTTTTAACGTGGGCAAAACTCTTACCCCCACTATGACCTACCGTCGTCGCCACTATACCGTTTTCGTGCTCTCACACAAGTGTATTCTGCCCGTGTGCGTAGCCTGTTCGGCACTTTCCGCCAACAATCCATGTTATCACGTGACGCTCGAGCAACCTGAGCGCATGAGTAGCAATCAGGAAATTCTCTTTGAATCTCAGTGCGACGGTGTTACTTTTTATTTTTAATTATTTTGTAATTTCACTTTGTAACTTTTCAGTGAAATAAAAAATTTGAGAAATATTTATGCACAAAGCACTTAACAAGGAGACTACATACCTGACTCCCGAGGATTTCAATGAAATTTGGAGGGATGAACTCGAAAAATAACATTCTGTAAAATATTTCATTTCAATGCGCACTTTTTATAAACATTTGAAATTACTTCTATAAAACTTTGGAACGTTTTCGTCATTTCAGTTTTCTAAGTGTTAAAAAATATTAATACATTTCCTAAGGTTTCCTTTACAATAACAATTTATCGTGTGTATGAGTCTTAGAATGAGGCTTAGAAATTAACGCTGCGCTATTAAATATGTGTCTTACGCACCAACGTAGGTAAGTGGACAAGGCGACTAAATAATTTTAGTTTTCCGTTCTTTTATCAACGTTGCCACATTATCGCAGCTAACTGAAATTCATTTGTCTAAACCATTTACCTACAACGCAACTTCCGCTCAAACGGCGGCAGTGTAAGGCCCAAGAGTAATGGGGATGACCTGACCCGCTTATTTTGCCTTCATCTGGCTAGGCGATAACGTCAGAGGTTTGCTTTACAAGACAATACATACATAAGTATACATATGTATCGAGTTCTTTTGTTCATTGCTTCAGCTACACCGCTGCACAATTTGAATTCGGCGCGTTTCAGCATTTACACTACGGGACGCCACATAAGCCACATAACACAGCATCTGTTTTTAAATTGATCTTAATTATTTATCAGATATAATAAATACATAAATATAGTAGATAAATAAATAAGTAAATAAATAAATATATATATATATATATATATGTATATATAAGTATATGTGTGTAATATAATAAATCATATTTTAATTACACATCTATTTATCGTAAATTATTGGAATATTTTTAGCTTATTCACAAAATATTGTCTTAGAAGTGTAAAAAATTGTATGGAAACAAATCTTTTGAAAATCAACATAAACGTGTTAAATCAATTTAATAAATTTTACTTTTCGCGGTTTCTAATGCAAGAAAATATGGATGAGGATGGAGTATCTATAAGTTAGGATATATTTCGTGGTGCATTTAGCTTCATCCGTGTTCTCATCATTGTGATAATATTGAAGCATTAGCCATCCTGTTTCACGTTATAGTTGTGTTAGATGTCAAGATAAAAGAGTCGTATTTTGTTCGCACAATAAACGTGCGAATCGAAATGTAATTAGTGTATATACATTATTATAATAAGTTGTTAATTAAAATGACAATGGTATGGAGACAAGTTAAAGAACATTCAGGAGTAGGTAAGAAATAATTTGTGAAATATTATTAATTTAGTCTTTGGAAGATCTAACATCCTGGGAGGTGCCCCAACCAGATAAAATTTTAGTTCTTGTTTTGCGCGCGAAACATTAATTTACAGTGATTTCTCTTCGATCTTTTTATTATAAATATTCAAATGTGAGTTAAACGTAATTATTTTAATTACATCATTGGAAAATGTTTAACTGACTTACGGATAATGTTGAAACGATTTATAATTGTTTATGACATTATGATTTATATAACTATATGATATATATGTTGGCTTCAACATTGTATGAATATAGTAAATGGTTGATAATTATATATTAAAATTTTTTAATTGTTTTTCAATTTTCTATTTTTTTAACACTTATAAGTGAACTTAATTATTTATTATTATGTAGCCATTTATAACTTCACACATGGGACTCCCTATGCAATGCGATTAACTGTTGGGGAAGTAGTATATATATTAGAGGAGTGTGGAAATTGGTATTATGGACGTAGTAAATTCAGAGGCACTTGTGGTATCTTCCCAAAATCTTACATACACATTCAGCAGCAATCAATGAACATGGACTGTTTAATACATGAAATCACTAATGTTTTAAGAGAATGGGGACAACATTGGAAGCATTTATATGTGGTCTGTATAATTTAATAAAATATTCACAAATAATATTTGTTATTAAAATTCTGTTTAATGTCCAAAAAATTGACATAATCTTTTTTATGTATAGACTTTTTCAGAGCACTTTAAAATAATGAAAGAACAGATTTTAGAGTTAATAGAATATAGAAGTAAAATTTTAAGTGGCACATTGACAGTAGATGAATTAAAGGATATGAAAAGATTGGCAACAGCTAGGATTGATACTGGTAATCAATTATTAGGTATGGACATGGTTGTCCGTGATGATCAAGGAAACGTTCTTAATCCTGAAAAAACAAGCACAATTCAGTTATACTATCATCATGAAACAACTGCTGAAAGAATAAGAAAGGCAGCTAATGATACAAAACAAAAGCCTTCAAAACCACAAGCACCAGTATACTCACATATCTTTTTTGTTAGTGTAAGAAATTTTGTCTGTAAAATGGCAGAAGATGTAGAATTGTTATTGACTTTATATGATGGTCGGGAAATGAAAACAATCACTGAAAATTATGTTGTGTCATGGAGTAAAGAGGGACTTGCCAGAGACATAGATCAGCTACATAATCTTCGAGTTTTGTTTACAGATCTTGGTTCTCGAGATTTAACTAGGGATAAAGTTTATTTAGTTTGTTATGTAATTAGAGTAGGAGGTATGGAAGCTAAAGATGTTGATCACAGACGTTCAAGTGTAGCACAAACTAATCAAAAAGTTAAAAATACTGAAAATATGAGAAGACCATTTGGTGTAGCAGCAATGGATATTACTTTATATATTACTGGAAAACTTGAAGGAGATTCAGATCATCACCACTTTATACCGTTTGTACAGTAAGTAAGAAATTTTATTTAAATTTATATTATAAATGTATTTATAAGAAGTATTTTATGAATACATTTACAATAGATCTGTTTTGTTGGGCTCTCTTTATTGTTTCAGATGTTGTGAGAAAGAAAGTTTAGATGGAACATTACGTAGAATTCTTTCTCAAAAAGAAACAAATGTTCAGAAAAGTGGTAATGGTAATAGTGGTAGTTTTGCTGGTGGTCAAGGTTTATGGGCCAGTTTAAAATTGCTTAGAGGAGATCCAAAACAAGTAAGCAAAAAATTAAACTTTGAAAAAGATGATTTAAAAATATGTTATATTTATAAACGATTTCGTACTTAGGTACGTGATGAAAACCCACATTTAGTATTGGGTAATGTTGCTATTGCAAGAAAAATGGGGTTTCCAGAAGTTATTTTACCAGGTGATGTGAGGAATGACTTATACCTCACATTAATTAGTGGTGAATTTAATAAAGGATCAAAATCCACAGACAAAAATGTTGAAGTTACAGTCAGTATTAAAATTCGTGTAGTCAATGCTTCAGAATCAGTAAAATTCTCAAGGATATTATTATCTTTTTTTTGATAGGTTAAAGTATGCAACGAGTCTGGTGTACCAATACCAGGAGTTATGACATTAGGTGGTGGAGCCTTACCAATTGATGAATATCATAGTGTTATTTATTATCACGAAGATAAACCTAGATGGTGTGAAACATTTAAAATTGCTGTACCTATTGAAGAATTTAAGCAAGCTCACTTGAAATTTACATTTAAACATCGCAGTTCAAATGAAGCAAAAGACAAGTCAGAGAAACCTTTTGCTTTAAGTTATGTTAAATTAATGCAACGTAATGGAACAACATTGCAAGACATACAACATGAACTATTAGTTTATAAATTAGATCAAAAGAAGTATGAAGAAACTGATATTTCATATTTGAAATTACCATCAACAAGGGGTGAATTGGTAAAATTAGCAACAAAATTATTTTGTTTTTGTATATAAATGTTTCAAAATTTCAGTATTTTTTCTTTTAGGTTGAACTAACTATTGAGAAAAAGCCAACATTAGGATCGCTTACCTTAAGTAGTAAAGACAGTTTTTTGATAGCAACTAATATTTGTTCAACAAAATTAACGCAAAATGTAGACTTATTAGGTTTATTAAATTGGGCTTCACATAATACCGATTTAGAAGAATCCTTAATTGCTTTAATGAAAGTTAATGATGAAGAAGTAGTAAAGTTCTTACAAGTCAGTGAAGTTTTTACATTATATAATATGAAAATAAAGATAATTAATAAACAAGACTTACAATTTCACTGCATAAAATTGTTTTAGGATGTTTTAGATGCTTTATTTAATATATTAATGAGTAATTCAGAGAGTGATGTCTATGATGATATGGTATTCGAATGTTTATTGTACATTATTGGTCTTGTGTCTGATAGAAAATATCAGCATTTTCAACCAGTATTGGATTTGTACATTTCCGAAAGTTTCTCTGCAACACTAGCATACAAAAAGTTGATTGCAGTATTACGTAAACGCATAGATAACGCAACCAATAATGATGGACAGGAGCGTGATATACTGCTTAAAACTATGAAAAGTCTTCAATATTGTATGAGATTTGTTGTAGAATCCCGTCTTTTATTTACTGAGTATGTTTTAATTTTGTTGAATTGTTTCAACAATTGTCGTGTATTGAAATACCTTCTTTTTTTTATTATAGACTAAATCAAGATGAAGAGGAGTTTTCTCAAACTTTAACAGAATTACTGAGATCTATTGTTGAACTTATGAGGCATGAAACAGATAGTACTTTATTAGTTCAAGGAGCATGCCTTAAATATTTACCAACTACTATACCTCATTTGCTACGAGTATACAGTGACAAGCAATTGAGCATAATTTTGACAGATTTATTAGTTACTTTACCAGTAGGAAGATTAACAAAACAGAAAATGATGACAGTTAATGACATTGTTCATAGCCCCCTCTTTTTGAAAGCAGAGTGTAGGACAATTCTGCTGCCTAGGATTACTATTTTAGTTCGAGATTTATTGGAAGCTAAAGAAGAGGTAAGAAATATGATGCTATTAATCATCACGATTTAATAATTTTAGTGTAATGAAAGGCAAGTGTTACTCATTAAAGTACATATAAAATAAGTAGAAAACACTATTGCATATAATATACATTGGTGATTTCTCAAACACGAAATTCTTTTTTGAGTAACTTAACATTTGAATTGAAGCTTCGTTCATATTAACATAACAAAGCTTAAAAACGAATATATGTCGTATATTTAGTATGTTGCAACTTGTGTTGTCGTCGTCGTCGTCGTCGTCGTCGTCGTTTTAATTGTTATAGTATAAATATGAGCGATGCTTTTTATTTGCATTTAAAACTTTCCTACAAAATTTGTGGATAGTGTCATTATTTGTGCTTTCCGTGCAGCCTGACATCCTCCCGCCACGCATCTTTCTGTGAATTTCATCAATCTTGTATTATTCTCTGAGCAGGATGTCTTTATTTTTATAGTATATCTAATAATTTAAAATAATAATTGATATACAATAACGTTAAACAATTTTTTGTTAGTTTAGATAATAAATTCGAAATTGAAGCAATACAGAAAAAGTATAATGAAATCAAAGACATCCTCTGTAAAGTTTTACTATAGCATGAGAATCAAATTGCATTTTTACTTCCTGATATGGCATGTAATCAGAAAATAGTATTTCCAATTTATCTCAAGATATTCACGATATGTAAATCATTTATCATGTGCCTACCTTTCCATTTTGTCTAAAATTGAAATTACAAGAACATATATCAAAATGAAAAACTTAATGATTAATTAAAAGATTTTAAATAAAATCTCTTGACAATAATACTGGTATTTAATGTAGTTTTTCTGCCCATTTACAACTGTTCTATTGCTTGGGGCACTGCATTCTTTTTGCATGTAGTTTTATGTTGCCATTTCTCTTAGGTGATGGACATTAATAAGGGTGTAACTGTATTTATATGCATAAATTGGCATTATATTCTAACTAACATAGGGCTGTTTCATTTTTGTGTTTGGTTTGGTTTTGGTTATTGGCCTATAAAGGGGCTGTCAAGTACGCCTGGAAAAAGCGTGGCGAAGGTAGCCAGGCTGCTCGGCGAAAATCGACATCGACTCAACCAGCACCGTGGCTACTCTGAAGAGGTAATTGTTAAAATATACATGGTGAATTCGAACGTGTTACTTGCAAGTAAATTTTGGATTATTGGCACGGTGATTGCTAATGATATGTGAAGTACACTGATCTACTTATGATAAGTATTTTATGTTAGATTTTCAGGAATGGTGTTTATTGTAACATTGTTTAATTTTTCTTTTTTTCTAATTATTTTTACAAGGATAATTATGAACAAACTACAAAGATGATGAGAAACATGTTTGTATCTTATGTTAATGTAGGTAGAATTGTGTGTCAGGATATTATCCGACATCTTGGAATTAACATTTAGGAAAGATATAGAAAGCACTGTGCAGGATGTAAAGGAAATTATGCTCACTGCCTTGCGAACCATCATACAAACGGTTATATCGATGGATAGAGAAAATCCATTAGTGGGAAATTTAGTTTCAGTCATGTTAGCAATGTTCAGGTAAAATATAAAAATTCCAAATTTTGTGGAAAACGAAAATAACATTTAATGTTAAATATATATTTCAGACAAATGACACAACAACATTATGAAATTTATATAAATCACTTTGGAACTAAATTTGATTTGCTTGATTTCCTTATGGAAATACTATTAGTATTTAAAGATTTAGTATCAAAAAGTGTGTTTCCAAGAGATTGGTGTGAAATGATTATGCTTCAAAATAGTATAATTTTAAAATCATTGCGTTATTTCTCGGGTACAATTAGGGACTATTTCTTCATTGATTTCGAACAGCAAGCTTGGTCTAACTTTTTTCATTGTGCAATTGCGTTTTTGACCCAGCCAGCTTTACAGTTAGAGATATTCACACCATCAAAACGCAATCGTATTGTTTCGCGTTACAATGATATGCGCAGGTACATTAATATTAGCATGTTTATTTTATTTATTGTTTTAAATGTATAATTCGTACAAAAGTTTATTTTCTTTATAGAGAAACAGCGTTTGAAATACGATCAATGTGGTTTAATTTGGGGCAACATAAAATATTATTTGTTCCTGCTTTAGTTGGAGCCATCTTGGAGATGGCATTAATTCCAGAAAGTGAATTAAGAAAAGCAACTATACCTATATTTTTTGATATGATGCAGTGCGAATTTTATAGTTCACGTATTGTAGAAGGATACGGTGATACAAAACGTGATCCTGCTCATATGAAAGCTAATTTCACGGAATATGAAAATGAAATGATTGCAAAATTAGACATATTGGTATGATATGATAAAAATACTTAATATATTTGTTGGTTTAACAATTACATTTACATAGTATTATAATAGGTCGAGGGAGGAAGAGGAGATGAACAATTTCGTTTACTTTGGATTCAAGTAATGGGTAACCTTTGTGAAAAACATTCAACTATGCGAGAACAAGGATTACGCTTTGTTGATACAGTAGCAAAACTTATGGAACGCCTATTACAGTATCGTGATATAATTCACGCTGAGTCTCAGGAACATAGAATGCTATGTATTGTAAATTTGCTAGAATTTTACTCTGAGATAAATAGAAAAGAAATGTATATTAGGTATATATATGTATAATTAACAATTTTATAAAACAAACTTGGTTTGCTTATCTTCAAAACATAATAATTATCGATATTAATACTAAATTACATGTTTATTTTATAGATACGTAAATAAACTTTGCGATCTGCATTTAGAATGTGATAATTACACTGAAGCAGCATATTCATTGAAACTTCATAGTCAATTATTGGCATGGAGTGATCAGCCGTTACCACCGCTTTTAAGATCACATAGATATTTATCCTGTCAAACACATCGCGAATTAAAGGAAGCATTATATAATGACATGATCGAATATTTTGACAAGGGTAAAATGTGGGAATGTGCACTTGCAGTATGTAAAGAATTAATTACGCAATATGAAGAAGAGACATTTGATTACTTGCAACTTTCGGTGTTATTAAAGCGTATGGCTAAGTTTTATGACTCAATAATAAAACAATTAAGGCCTGAGCCTGAATATTTTAGAGTTGCATATTATGGTCGAGGTCACCCGGCATTTCTACAGAATAAGGTATTTCGTGAAAAGTTGTTTTGTTTTACAATTAATTATTTGATCATTAATTATTATTAATTTATCATAGATATTTGTTTATCGCGGAAAGGAATATGAACGTCTCAGTGATTTTTGTTCTCGAACATTAAATCAATTACCAAATGCAGAACAAATGAATAAGTTGTCCCCTCCTTCTCCAGAAATGCTAGAATCCAATCATCAATATGTTCAAATTAACAGGGTAGATCCGCTAATGGATGAAAAAAGACATCGACTTAGTGGAAAACCTATAACAGCAGAAGCAGTGTTAAGGTAAAATGCAATTTAATAATCTGTTAAATTTTCGTAATAATATTTAAAACCTTTACAATTGTATTTAAGATATCACCGAGTAAATGATGTTCAACGTTTTCGATTCTCAAGACCAGCACCAAAGAAAGATTTAAGTTTGATTACTGTCAATTCTGGCGATAAAGAAAAAGAAATAAATAATGTTACCAATAATGAATTTGCTTCATTATGGTTAGAAAGGACAGTACTCGTCACGAGTCATCCTTTACCGGGCATTCTTAGATGCTTTCCTGTTACATCTAGTGAAACTTATTTAGTCAGTCCTCTTCGTAATGCAATTGAAACAATGGAAGCTACAAGCACTACATTAAGAGATTTGATTTTTGCACACAAGGCTGACCATAACCTTCCACTGAGTCTCCTTAGCATGAAACTCAGTGGTATATTAGACCCAGCGGTAATGGGTGGTATAGATAATTACGAGAAAGCATTTCTCAATCCTGAATATCGCAATTCTCATCCAGAAGAAAGTTCCGATCTTCTCAAGTTAGAAGGCTTAATTGCTGAACAAATTCCATTGTTAAGTGTTGGGGTTCAATTACATAAAATACGCGCACCTTCTGAATTGACTCCATTTCATCAACGTTTAGAACAATGTTTTGCGTCGATGCGAAACCAAGTAGAGGCGAAGTATGGAAAAAGAGTAAGTTTGAGATATCAATAACCATTGTGTTAAAACGAATTCGTATGAAGTTACTTATATGCACGGTTTACAGACATGTGATTTACAAATTGAAAATTTAACTCAATCTGTTACAATGCGAAGACATCAAGCTTCGAGAGGCGAAAATCATCGATTGTCCGAATCAAGTATAATGAATTCTGAGTAAGTATTTTGTGTATGTTTATTTTTGTAATTATTACCTGCTGCATATATCGCCAGAATTTGTACTAACACTACTTTTGTTCATGTGTTATCGTGACATTAAAAAATACATTAGCTTTGGTATGGGATTGTAATCAGATTTGTTTTAAAACATTATCTGTATTATATTACAAAACATTGCATGTAAAAATAAAAATCGCTCAAAAATTGTAACACATATTTTATGTAAGAACAAACAAAAAACATCCTATTTAAGTTTCTCCATATTATAGTCTTTTATTATAATGTTACGTGGTTACTTTGCAATTATCTCGTTCAGCTGTGGAACTCACTCCAGGGTATCCTCTCTTACAAGATCCCAAGTTGCAACGTTCAAGTCGCTCGCATCATTCAATTTTAACAACAGTACACCTTCATCTGGTACCCAAAACGTCAGTTTGTCAAGGTAAACACACATTAGAATGATGATGTGCTGAAATAGTTTTAGCGTTAATTAACTTTTGTAGTTTCTTTCTATTTTACGCTATTATTTAAACTATTTTATATTAATTATTTAGATTGTTACTATTTACCTTCGGTACTCTATCTTTAATGCGATTTAAATGACATCATTAAACAAATTATTTACGAAACAGTTGTTGACTTCAGAAAGAGAAATTCAGCTAAATTCCAGTTAACAAATGTTTTTCTAATTCTATATTGTATTCGTATTATAAATGAATATTAGAATAATTTATGTATAATTTCAGGAATTTTGCCGTCGGATCCGATAAGCATAATATCCTATTATCCTTTCTCCGCACCTAGCAATTTTTGTATATGTACACATGTGTATGTATATTAACAGATTCTTATTTATGCTTTATTTAACGTTTTTATACATATTGTGGCTAATATATTAACTAGTTTGTTGCGTTGAAAGTATTTGTTTCTTTAACAATATTATTTAGTGTAATAAGATGTTTTTAAAAAATGTTTATTAGCTTTTGGTATTGAATAAATATTTTTCTTTAATCGGAAATAGTGAAAAAGTATTACAAATGCCACATATGTACATATATGCTTTAAAAATTATATCTGTACATATTACTTTTCCTCATTATTCTGTTCTATTCTGTTCTTTTTCTGCATGATATTATTTTGTATTATTTGTTATATTACCATATTTGTCCCGGGGTAAAACAACTTCAATAACACAACTGGTTATTATGCTAAATAGGTAAATAATGAGCTATTATATCAGTATAATATTAGCACTATCATAGTTACTTAAGTGCTCATATAAAATTAAGCTAGTTTTTAATAATATGTATTATTGTACAGAAACGCTTCAATACGCTCACACATATTGTCGACGGCATCCCTGCAAAAGGCATTAGGAAGTCCAAGTCCAGGGACAAATAAGAAGAAGGATACAAAACGAAGGAGTTCACGTAAAAGTGATTCAGCTGCATCAACAAAAATTGATCAACCAACGAGTCAGTGGTATACTACTACAGATGTATCGCAAAATACATCGACTCCTATTACTCCACTAATGTCCAGTTTTCCTACTACACCAATATTTGAACTTCGCCAAGAGGTAATATTACGATATAATTAGTGTTGAAAAATAAAAAATAAAAATAATAATAATAAAAGTTTATCTGGGCAATCTCAACATTATTTAAGAAATATTAATAACGGAATGGATTCAAGTAGTTTAGGAAAAGGAAATAGGGATAGTATTGGCACTACAGATAGCACAGCATCTGAAGATGATCCACCACCACCTTTACCTGTGAAAACCCGTGAAGCTGATTACTGTAATCTTCCAGAAGAATTACCTGTTCATCATTGTGGAATAGGTAGTTTAAACAATTTTAACCGGTCTTCAGGCCAATGGCCAAAAAGCAAGCTTCCAACCCCTACAGACGATCTTGACATTCATACAAAGCCACCCACTCCTCCACCAAAACCAAAAAGACCACCTTATACCTTAAACAAACTTATGCTTTCTTCAGATATAGATAATTTTAGTCAAGATCCGTCCGTAACTTGATTCAAATTATTTCATGATCGTGCGTCTTGCCAGTATACTAAAAACTACATATAATAATATTTATACATTTTATAGTTTTGCAGTAGGAATCTAGAAAGTTACCATTTACATTTTTTTATGTACCTTTCTTTCTTGTGTAAGTAGAAATGTATCTATCATTGTTAAGAATGACAGTAAGTTATGCAACATTTCGATACATTTTCAGTAATATGAAGGATCTATTAGCAGTTGAATTTGCGTGGAGGTAATGTCACATATTTACCTTTATTCCATCCAGTTGGAACACTTTCAGATGAATTACGTATATCATTAATGGACATGATAAAGATATAACAATTTTTTAAAATTATACAATTTTTATACTGCTTATTGGAAGCATGTTTTCACCATACATTTTTCATTTGATATTTTATAAATACATTTATATAAGTATAGGTTTGATATATCGTATTCACAAATGTTAGTTAACATATTGCGCATATTTACTAATGCCATTGACATTGAAGTCTTTCATTTATAAAAGACTTTATACTCATCATAAGACATACATATGAAGTATGCATAATATGCTTATTCAAAAGCAGATATTATAATTTTTACTGCGTATTTTTATAGATTTTTATAGTACATGTTTACACGAGTTTCTCTGTAGTAACATTTTGAACATGTTTTACTGTTACTGTTGCTAATATCTTTTAACATAAATGGTAAATAATAATTACAAAGCTGTTTTTAAAATACTTTTTTAACATCTGTCTACATTTGATGCTCGATTTTATATCACAGTTGATTTTATTTTTTATAAGAGTAGTGTTATTAACACATAACTATTGCCTAAGCATTACCAATTGATTGTGATTTAGTAAAGTAAATTAAAAATTTGTTTTATAAACCAGTTGACAACAAGATGTCTTGGAAATGTTATTTGAAATAATGAATTCATAATTCTGTGTAATTTTTCAAACGGCCAAAAGTAGGTCGATTTACATGCAGTACCCAATTAATGTATCATAGAATTTACAATGCGTTTATTTATTGTATTTCTGTATATCATGACAGATTATTTTATAATGAAACAAATTATACTTTTCACACAATTATACAAATTTGTTGCAAAGCACTATAGTAATTAACAAAATTGCCGTACCTTCGGCAAATAAATACATAACAAATTTTTAATGTAAAAGCGAACGTATTTTTGACGGTAAAATATTATATAACATTTTTAATTGCAATTATTATGTGAGTCTCATACCAAAGAGATTAGTGCTTTATTTATTTTATTAATAAGTTGTATGTATCATTTAAAAAATGTTATATAACGTATGATTCGCATAAAACAAAAGCAAATAAATCGAATGATTTTTTAATTAAGGATGGACAGGGAATTATTGCAATTATGCACATCTAGCTTTAGTTTTCACTGATGACAAGGGAAAGTTTATCCATTGTAATCCCTATCTAACGTGCCATTTGTTTCTTTTCATGTTCATAATGATTAATTTTAATACACTTTAGGGACCAATGTAATAACGTTAAACGTAAAAATTAAAATTTATTTACCGTTATACATAACACGTGATTATTCATACAATTTTTTGTTTCTGACTAATGATTATTTTCTTCTTTTTAGAATCTCTAGTGTTAAATATTAATAAAATTATGTTTAAAATATAACATTAAAAATTTTCACAGCATTTGATGTGTTGTTTTACGACACATGACAAGAATCTTTCTCTTGTTTATTTCTAGCAGACCCTGTTTTCGGAGACTCCTTTGAAAAGGAATTTAGTTAAATATTAATTACTTAAATGATTAGTTAAATTATTTAGTTATATATTGAAATACAAATATTTTTAAATCTACTTACCAATGGTGCTTCACTCTTTTGTAAATTTTCATTTATCTTTATTTTTGGTTCTTCAACCCATGACCATGCCTTATTCTGTAAAGAGCATCATTTAAATATAGTTTAGTTATTTTTTATTTATGTAAATATAAAATTTGTCATCATACCGAATCGTTATTCAAATCTGGATACAACTGCTGGAAATTTGGTAGTGGAGCACTAGGACCCTATAAAAAAATTTGTTAGTTACTCCCTTTGACCTTCTTCCATCAATTATTATAAAGTAGAATGTTGTATAATAATGAAAAATAAAAAATACAGATATAAATATATAGCCAAAATTTTATTTCTGTCTCATCGCTTGACCTATTGTTCCTCTCCTAAATTTATATTAGCATTAATGTTTCCCTTTAGAAATTAATAAAAACAACATTGTAATAATGAAGTAACAAGGCAAACTTAGTACTGGATACACAATACTAAACACTATGTATACTCACTGATTGTATGTTATCATTTTTTAGACCTTGACAATGTGATGTATAATGATTGTAACAACTACATTTTTCACACTTAAAACCCCAAGCAGGGCAGGCTCTTAGAGGATGCCTTTGGCCACATTTCCAACAAGGTCTGTTATGTAGTATACTTTTTGGTCTGTTAGTAATGCTATTCTGATTTTCTTTAATATTGAAAGTGTTGTCTTTTTGATTTGATCTAAGTTGGTTTTGTTTTTGTATGGTATGTTCCAACCATATTGACGTTAACTTTGACAGATCAAGATTTCTTATATAGAGTAGCTTCTCTATAAGTTGCTTATCTTTTATTTCTGCAAGTACTTTGTCTCGAATTAAACTATTCACCATGGTTCCAAAATTACAAGAGTTTGCTTTTTTCTAGAAAAAAGAAAGTAGAAATTTAGTTGCTTATAGATTTAAAAAAAATACAGAAAAGCATTTTAAAACTAACATACCTTTAAATTATCGATATAAGTAATGATAGATTCATTAGTGCTTTTCTGAGAGGTAAAAAATTTATATCTTTCTTGGACTTCATTACTAAAATGTTCATCTAGTTTTTGGATTAAAATACCCATGTTATTTAAGCAGTTGGGATTTTTTGATACAATTTTATCAATAGCTCTTTGACCAAATTCTCCTATGTAATTTCTTAAAATGTAAACTTTTACATCGTTTGGTTTACTATAAGAATTGGTTGCTTTCATGTATGCCATAAGATTTTTTTTCCAAATTTTCCAGTTATTACTTATATTTTCACCTTCAAATAAAGGAGGTGGTGGTTTTACATATTCCTCCATTTTTATAGCAGCTTACTACACATAAATATAAAGTAAATTGACGACAATAATATTGATGACATATAAACAAAAAAGGACTATTATCAAATCACGAAACAAAATGTTGCATAAGGTCCGAACAATACAAAGATTTTTTTTTTTAATTGTTTTTTAAGATATAATTTTTTAATATAAATTATATTTTATTATTATTAGATACTTGAGTAACGAATATTTACTAAAAGAGACATTCAGTATTGTAATTTCATTAGTTTTACCTACCTAATTATTAACGTTCTTCTACAAAATATATACGAACACAAGAACATCGCATTTCAATAAAAGGTACATCCCAGCAGTGATACCACAATCGTTGGCGCTAGGCCCCCCACTATGCCCTACCGCCGTCTCCCACTATACCGTCCTTGTGATCTCACACAAGTGTAGTGGTAGCTCTGTCGTGTGCGAAGCCTGTTCGGCTCTTTCCGCCAAATATCTACGCCACCACGTGACGCTCGAGCAACCTGAGCGCATGAATAAGAATTAGGAGATTCCCTTTGAATCTCGGTGAGACAAAGTGTTTCGAGTATATGGGCGTTTGGGACAAAAATCATAATTTCTAAATTAATCAATTTTCGACCTAAGTTCTTTCATAATTTTTTGAAGAGAATTCAAATATGCACTGATTGGCACATAAAAAAATATATGGTTTCATTTAAAAAAATTGTAGTGATCTTTATTTTTTATCGAATAAAAACTTTTTTGTAAATTTTCATTAACACGATTTATTGTCAACTGAATACTGATTAACTTTTGTTTGAAAAATTTGTTCATCAGTTTCGCGGAAATACCGGCAAAATCGTAACGGCCGTTTCGCACACAGGGGTTTCAGAGACAAATATCATAATCTTGTATACATTCAAAATTTCTCTTTTATTTTTGTTTTGTAATTTTCATTAGGTAGTTAAATAACGTATTAAAATAAGTAGGATAGGACGCTAGAATACTCAACGCGTCAATAACAATTTTGACAATTTTCTTTATTTTAAGCAAATTTAAGCAGTTAAATTTGACATTAATATAAAGATTTATATGTTCAAAATTAATATACAAAAAATCACAGAGGTATTACTCGGTACTTTTTTTAAAAGTCTCGTTAAATTTGATAAAAATTTGGAAAATTTATTACTATTGTATTAAAATTCTCTGTCAGCTTCAAAGGTATTCAGGTACTAAAGACAACCTATAAAAATCAAATCAAAAACACAAATGGTCTGTGAATGGCACATATTTGAAAAATACACTGATTTTAATGGAGCAAATTTCACGTCTTAATTTTAACAACAAATGGACGTATTCAGTCAAAATTATAGGCAATATTACAAACTATGGTTTGTTATTAACATCTTAAAATGAAAAAATTTTTAAATTTTACACTTTGAATTTCTGATTTTTGTCCATTGGTCAAAACGCTGTGCGTCGGTGTTACATTTTATTTTTAATTATTTTGTAATTTCATTTTCTAACTTTTCATTTCGCTGAAAAGTTTGAGAAATATTGATGTGCAAAGCACTTACCAAGGAGACTACATACCTGTCCCCCGAGGATTTTGATAAAATTTGAACTTAGGTCAAAAATTGATTAATTTAGAAATTATGATTTTTGTTCCGAACGCCCATATACTCGAAACACTGCGTCTCACCGAGATTCAAAGGGAATCTCCTAATTCTTACTCATGCGCTCAGGTTGCTCGGGCGTCACGTGGTGACGTAGATATTTGGCGGAAAGAGCCGAACAGGCTTCGCACACGGACAGAGCTACCGCTACACTTGTGTGAGAGCACAAGGACGGTATAGTGGGAGACGACGGTAGGCATAGTGGGGGGCTTGGCATCACTGCATCCCAGCAGTAGTTATAACCAACTTTGCGAAACAAAAAATTCAAAGATCGGTTGTTATAATCTTCTATAAAACTATAACATTAAATATGAATAACAAGTTTAAATTAAATTTCAACGAATTTTAATATCTACGTATACTATATTATGATTACTACGTATAAATAATTTAAGTAAGCAATACTACGTATGTTATATAATTTGATAATAACTATCTTAGATAAAATCGTTTTTTTTTATGATAGTATTAACGTGTTGGTTTCAAAAATAATATATGTTTTATAAACTATTTTAGTACATGTTTTACATTGGTAACAAGATAATCTTACTAAATAGTAATTTTAGAATGTTGAATATGCAGATGTACATACTGCACAATGAAAAGAGCATATCACTCTGAAAACTGGAAAATTTCTTTAGGAACACGTAATAATTTGTTGTTTAACGGTATTCCACACGTTCCTATGTTAGTGGAGAATATTTCTACGTTTATTTCTTTCGAAGATTACAAGGAAAATGGCATTAAAACAATACAAACATTAGGAGAACTTGTTCCAAATACTGAAACGTATGCTATTCTTTCATCTTTAACACGCGGAAATAATTCAGAATTTCCTGTTAGTTTCAGAAATTTAAATGTTAATGATATATACATCAAGAATTCAGATGGTACATATTGTGCAATTTGGGTAAGAGGTTTGTTCGTTTCTAGGTTACACGTTTCTGTTTATTTACTTTAATTAAATAGTTGCATTAATTTGCATAAATTCTTTTTCAGAATAAACACAAGGTGTTTAAAATATATGGAATATTGAAGAAAAAAGTATTTGGACACATTCTAGTGGCTAGCCATTTGGTACCAGTACATGATGTACCAGGTACATGGAATATAATGACAATCTTAATGTCAACTGCACGTTCAGAATATCGACAGTAAGTACTGTTTAATTATGATTTGTCGATAAAATCATTTCACAATATTTGCTTTACTTATTTTACTGCAGGTATAATCGTACTAAAGGACAAAATGATATGTTAGAATTACAATGGGATAAAATGAAAAGGGAAAAGAAACGATTAGTGAATGAACAGCCAATCTAATACATATATTATTGTAAAATCAATTGTAGATTTGTATA